AACTCCCTGTAACGCCGAATTAGAGCGCAGCCCTTGAGAAGTAGGGAAGGGAACTGAGGTTCACGTGTTATCGGGGGGAGGGGTGGTCACGTGACATTGGAGGGGTCACACGACCCCCTCGCCAAGGTCACGTGGGGGTCACGTGACCTCGGTGAGTCACATGACCTCAAGAGAACATTTTTCGCTAGATTTAGCGGGGAAATTTTTCCGCTAGATTTCTCGGGGAAATTTTTCCGCTAAATATAGCGGGGAAATTTTTTCGCTAGATTTAGCGGGGAAATGTTTCCGCTAGATTTAGCGGGGAAATTTTGCCACTGGATTTAGCGGGGAAATTTTTCCGCAAGATTTAGCGGCGAAATTTTTCGGCTAGATTTGGCGGGGAAATTATTCCGCTAGATTTAGTGGGGAAATGTTTCCGCTAGATTTAGCGGGGAAATTTTGCCACTGGATTTAGCAGGGAAATTTTTTCGCTAGATTTAGCGGGGAAATTATTTTACTAGATTTAGCGGGGAAAATTTTCCGCTAGATTTAGCAGAGAAATCATTCCGCTAGATTTAGCGGGGAAATTTTTTCGCTAGATTTAGTGGGGAAATTATTCCGCTAGATTTAGCGGGGAAAATTAGCGGGGAAATTTAGCGGGGAAAAATCTTCGGCAAGACAAACGCAAACACATCGAGGGGCTTTAGGTACCGGCCATCCCGGTCACGAGACAACAACCGAGACCTTCAAAGCCCTCTGGAGCTTGCCGAAGTATTGGGCTTCACTGTTACTAGAGATGGGCACCAAACCGTTGAGGTTAGGCCAGGCGCACCAGCGGACAGGCCTGCCTCGAACGAGACTACGGCCTCAAGTGGCCCACACAGGCCGTCTGTCGAGGCAACAAAGAGACGGTTAGAGGACTGGTGGAAAAAGATCTGCCTTAGGGGGCAATAACACGCAAATGCCCCCAGGCTTGGGCATGAATATTGTTCGAGCCCGCCCGATCTAAAGGGAACAGCCGCCATCATCATCATCATCATCATCATCATCATCATCATCATCGGTAGGCATCGGTAAAGCCCGTCTATTCTTAAAATAAGTGGCGCCATTCATTGTTGCAAAAATGCTCGAGACACGTGCCGCGCGCCACTTCTGGGATTGATTGAACACGTTTATTGGCCATAAACTAAGGGATGAGGAATAAGGGCGGTGTCGGTGGTGACGGCGACCTGGACATCCTTGGCACTATGCTACATACTATATACACTACATGTGAACATCGAGTTTCGCCTCAAAGATAAAGTCCAAGAGACTCTTCAGGATGTTCACGTTGTCTGGTGGTCTTGGAGGTGGGCGCACCCATTCCTCCAGCGATGTGATGTTTGTGGGCTTGTGCTTTGTCCTCAAGTCCTTGTAGTATGGACAGTTCCATAGAAGGTGGACAGTGTCCGCCTTTGCTGTTCCGTTGCATTTTACGCATGTGCCTGATCGTCCTTTACCCCACCGGGCAATCCGGGCCGGAGTGGGATTGGCGTTGGCTAGTATGCGAGTGAGGATTACTCGTCCTCTTCGTCCTAAGCCCCCTGGAAGGGGATCCGGGTCTGGGGGCAGGCTTTCCCACAGGCGATGCTTGTATTGCTCTTTGATGCGAAGCTTTTCTTCACCGGGGTCGTAGTTGTTTTCGTCCGCGGACTCCTGTGCTTGATTACAAGCGATGGAGTAGCCGTGGTCCAGCTGGTGTGAGGGCATAGCGGATTGCTCGCGGAGGGAGATAACGGCGACGCGAGCAAGCTGATGTGCCTTTTCGTTGCCTTGGATTACGGCGTGACCCGGAACCCAGCTAATAATCGTCTTCGTCCCCTCCAAGAGGAGACGAGCAGCAATTTTCTTTATTTTCCTCACCCTTCGGCACGGGCTGTTGGCTTTTTTACATTCTGTGACTGCTTCCTTAGAATCGGAAAAGATGTGTAGTTCTTTTGGTCTGGTAGTGGAGTTCGCCAGGACAGATTCTAGGGCCACTTGAATGGCCGCTAGTTCCCCTCCTCGAACTGTCATGCTAGTTGGAAGCTGCGTGCTCGCATCGACCTGGATCTCCGGAAAGCAGGCTACTGCCGCCCCGGGGCCGTCGTTGCCGAGAGCAAAATCTGTGTATGCAGCGAGTATGGTACTTGGATTTGTCCAGGATCCGACCATTTTGTTGTGGGCTTTTACAAGTCTCTCTTGCTTCTGTGTGTCGCCCTTCCTGAGCTTCCCCAGGGGTTTGTGTTCCACGATGTCCAGCAAATCCTCCCAGGGGGGAAGCTGTTCCGGGAGTGCTGGCCAATCCTCTTGTTTACTGCCGAGTCGGCAGAGAATCTCTCTGCCTTGTCTAGAGTGTTTCAGTCGGTCCCAGTGGGCCCGACTTCGCGCATGCACCGTGTCGTAGAGTGAGTTGAGTTGAGCCTTCTCCTTGAGTCTTGGAAGTGCCGTGTAAGCCGGTAGACCGGTGATTACGCGCATCGCTTGGTGGTTTAGCGTTTCCAGTCTTTTCCATTGTGCTTTGGTGAGCCTGCAGTGAGTCGCGCCGTAGCAGACGCGTGACACCACGAGCGCCTTGACCATCCGCCTGGCCACTTCTTCTGTTGCTCCTCCTTGTGCCGAGCAGATGCGGCGAATAACGTTCAGGGCCGAGTTGCATTGCTTGATAGTTTGTCGAAGCCAGAGGTCTGCTCCACCGGTCTCATCTATTAGGAGCCCTAGGATCTTGACTGATGGCGCTGCGACGATCCTCTTCCCTGCCAGCACAAGGTTGAAGGCGTCTGAAATCTTGGCTTCGCGTAACCGTTTCGGGGCAAGAACGACGAAACTGGTCTTCTCTGGTGACGCTTGTAGCCCGACGCGACGAAGATGATTCTCTATCGTGTCAAGGCCGGCTTGCAGCGTGTCTTGTTGTTGGGATAGGCTCGATTCTCTCGTCCAGATTGATATATCATCTGCATATATCGTAAACCCAAGCTGTGGCACCTTGTCAAGTTCGTGTGGGAGTGCTGCCATGACTATGTTGAATAGCATAGGCGATAATACAGATCCTTGAGGTACCCCTACCCGGTTCGCCCTTGGTTCGCTGTGACTAGAGCCGCACTGAACCGAGTACGTTCTTCCCGCAAGGAAAGCCCGGATAAAGTTGAGCGGTCTCCCACCGAAACCGAGTTGTTGTGCCTCGCGAATGACTGCGGCGTGGGGAACCGAATCAAACGCCTTCTTGACGTCCACCGTAACAATGGCACGCACGGCTTGGCGTGTGGCTGTTGTGATGACTCCCGCCGATATGAGCGTTAGGCTCTCCTGCGTGCTTAGGCCGGGCCGGAACCCAGTCTGCACGGAGTGGAAAGCCCCGGTCGTCTCAAGGAGCCATTCGATACGCCGCAGAACCATTCTCTCCATGACCTTACACGTGCACGACGTGAGGGAGATGGGTCTATAGTTTGCAAGGTCACCTTTGTCTTTCCCTGGTTTAGGAATGGGAATCACTGCAGAGTGTTTCCAATCTTGCGGTAGTTGTCCCGTCTCCCAGATCTGAATGATCTGGCGCAGAAGCTCTTGTCCGATGTGGTCAGGTAAATTCCGTAGCATGTTCGTGGTGACTTGGTCGGGCCCTGGTGCGGTGTTGGCTTTCCCAGAGTGCAGGGCGCTCTCCAGCTCTCCCCTTGTGAATGGTCTGTCCAGATTTGAGTCTGGTGCAAGCACTTCTTGCGCGTAGGAGTCATAGTCAGAGGAGTCGGCCGCCGGTTGCGGAAAGAACAAGTCCCCCGCCATGACCGTCAGCTCCTCTTCCGTCTTTCCCATCTTGAGTGCAAGGGTGCCGGTAGCAGCCTTTGTCCTCTTTTTTCCAAGCATGGAGCGGCTGGTGGCCCAGAGTCGAGCCACTGACGTCTTCTCGGAAAGCGTCGAGCTGTAATCTAACCACCGCTGAAGCCCAAGCTTCTGGGCGTAGACTTTAGCCTCAACCGTCGCTCGCGTAATGTTGCGTCTTTTGATTGGAGTGCGTGGTCCCTTTCTGTAAGTCTGCACCGCTCGCAGGCGGTGAGCCCAGAGCTGCAGCAGGCCCAAATCGGGTGTAGGCGCGTCTTCATCCACTTTGGTCTTAATTGTGGCTTTTTCAATTGCGCACCGAAGTCTTAGATCTAGGGGGGCGGCCTCCATAGTCTGGGAGAATATGGCGTCTGAAATTTAGCCCAGTGCTGCGCTGTGCCGCCATGATCTTCCCAAGGGCTGCACGTGTCTCGTGCACCGACGCACCTTGCGCAACTTTTAAAACATGAAGGGGCTTTACGGGAGGCGGACTGAAGTGAGTGAAGGAGGGGAGGAAGGGGGGGGGGTACGCCCTTCCGGAGGAGTTCGACAACTGAGGTAATCTAGTAACGTTGACCCAGCCTACGTGTGGAATAAATGGGACCTATGAAACCTGCACACGAACACTTCACTTTTTCTAAGTCGAGCTGGTCGAGCCAGTTCAGGAGCGCGAGCTTGTGCACGTGCTCTCGTCTTACCACACGCTTTGCACGAGAAAGCCTGCGTATTTCGAATACAATCTCCGAAGAAAAGGAAGACGTTAGTTGTTTTTGTCTACACCATGATCTACCTCCGTCCTCACAGCAGCGACCTCGGCGGACCCGGGCCTTTGGGCCGTTCCCATGGGACGAGTCAGGAAGGAGACACTTCCGTAAGTACAGTGCGCAGTCGTGTAACATTTTGTGTCTTATGATCGACCCTCTGCTCGAACAGAAAGCTTCAGTTTTGACGTAAAACTGCGTCTTTCTCCGCGCGTGGAAGGGGGTGCAAAGTTGGAAGGTCGATATGACGGAAGTTCGGTCACGGAAGTGACGTGTGCGCCGCCTGCTGCCAAGTGACGTACGCGCTTCCTTTCTTTATCTGCTAGTTTTAACGCGACGCGCTCCTGACTGTTTGAAACGGCGACAGATACCGCTCCGGCAGCCGTGATTCCACAATCTTCGCTTATCGCTCTGGACAGCAGCCAAGTTCGCGTGCTCTGCGGTACGGGCAGTTTTTTGTTGGAGCCGACGCAGCTGTTGCTATAGCAACCCTCGACCTCGGTTGGACTCGACGTAAGTGTGTGAATCGCCTTTTACCACTCTCTCATTTCTTGGGCCACCTAAAGCTACTGGATAATGGGAAAGTAGCGCCAAACTCTCCGTACAGTCGCTGTTTTGGCATATCACATGAGCAATTTCTCTTTGACCTCTCTGTTCTCGGTGAGCCAATCTATATTCTCTGGTGGAGGTTAGCTTTATAGAAACGTTTCTTGTGTACCGTTATCTTGATATCCACATACCGGCGAAAAAAGCGTACATTCTCGTACCGTCACCACATGCGGTGTCGGTGCTTGGAGGCAGTTAAAAATAATTGTCTGGTTTTGCACTACGTAAGAAGAACAATATCATTTTAAGAGATCCGTGGAGATGGCCATGATTGAGAAGTTCATTGCATACGCCGTGCCAAAAAAGTTCATATTGGCGAGGAACACCTTCAGTACGATGATTCTCCATGGCGATTTTGGTGCGGCTGGTTTAGAACGACCCTCTCGAAGCTTTTGAAGATATAAAGGGGCCGAAATGGCGACTTCCATGGCAACGGACACCGATGGTGTGTGTCACGTCGTACACTGTACAATGTCAATAAATATTTCCTCATTAGCCAGTCACTTTGCGATGTTTGGTGTCTCCATGTGTTTGTGTCCGGCTAGCAAGCAGAGAAGGCAATGGCGCTACTTCTCCACGATTCAGTGACTTTAGTGTCACCCACTCGTAGTTCTACAGAAATATATGCAGCATAGAACAGCTATGCACCGGCAATTTTTTTTAAGCCCTTTTTTGTGCGCGTTACGTTGTGTAAAACTTGGGACTTGAGCTACGTGTGCTGCTTAGACACTGCTTCGTCATTGACACTAGAGATGCGTGACACAACGGCGGCAATAACAGTTTTATAAACTCGTTGAAGCGGAGAGATCTCTTTCGCAGTGTTCAAGCAATGGTGTCCGTCACGGTCAGCGCAGACACTCCGAGCAGAAAGAGTGCCTGCTCGTGTGCCATGGAAACAAGACACTTTCCCTTTACAGCTGTGAGTGGCCCGTCGCCCGGTTTCGCGACGGCGTGACCGTAAACGAAAAGTTTCCCCGCTAAATTTGGGGAGAAAATTGGTTGCACGTGACCTGACGTCGCGGGAGCTACAGACGGATTCAGGTTTCCCGCTAAATTTAGCAGAAAGGTTTACGTCACGTGACTTACGCACCAAAAACATTTGCAGACTCGATACGGAACGATCAAGGAGGATGTAAAAAAGTTAGCTGGGTGAAGCATGGGCTGAGTGGGCGGCGGCCATCGTGCCGTGGGCAAGAACCCGCATATCGCCGCAGCTGCGTTCGCGCTTTGCCGCGCGTTTTATGAAGGTAGTGGCGGTTACAAAACAGTGAAAACTACAAACATCGTGTGATAACAATTTATTTGTCGTTTCTTAGCACTCAGTTGGCCTATAATAAGCAGCAAGACAATTAAAAACATAAAAAAATCCCTTAAAAATATCAGATTGATGAGTTAAAGCCAAGCCTTGGTTAAAACTGTCACATTGATGAGTTTATTTTACTGATGGCTGAAGATAACCACCCTTGACAAAAGCACCTTGTTCTGGATCATTTCTCTGTTCTTTTCCTTTGTCATGTGGAGAAAATTCTGACCTTCAGATTCCCTTCAGCCAGCTTCTTACACAAGCTGTAAATATGATTGTCTAGAGGATCGCAGTCTAGGAAGTGTGGTTCCAGTTGCAAGAACCACTTCTTCTCTGGCAATGCACTCAACACTTCTAAGATCAGCTGTTTGGTCCTATGCTGCACCGCTTTGACGGTTTCCCACTCGGCCTGCAAGCGCCGCATGCTCTTCCTCGACAGCTTCCCGCAGCCCGGCGACGTCTTGTGATGGAGAAACAAGTCCACCCCGGTTTTTTTGCCTCACAAGAGGTACAAACTCTTGTGAATGCAGGGCTCCGATACACTCTTGGCATGTTGTAGTTGAAAGAACTTTGCGGACAACAAAGCCGGCAATGTATGGCACCACAGAAGTGACAAAAGGGGACAGGCTTTCAGGACGGTCAATGCGGTGCGTGCAATCGTGGGTTTTTTGCTGCGTGATTGGTGCCCTTCTGGTGTCGGTAAGAGTACTGGTTTGCATCTTCTTCAGGCACAATATTAGATCAAGTCAGGATTGATACCATGTGTTGAGAGCAATTTCCTAAGTTGGAAGACTTCACTTGTGTCTGAATCAACGGTCGTCTGTACGAAGCCATGAACTGCGCAGCCGCAGGGTTCTTGTTAAACCCTCCCCGTCCTCGAATGCACCTGAAGAAATTCTCAGCGTGGTTCTGGGTCAGCTTGAAGAAATACTTTAGGCACTCCTGACCGACAAACTCAGTGGACAGCTTTTCGGTACTTGCAATGCAGATCAGGAAACCGACTTTCTTTAACCCTTCCAAAATAGGACGTCCTGATAGGTCTTTAAGTCCCTTGATGTACGCTCGAGCCCCAGAAAAGAATGCCCTCCTGCATGCTTCATTCTGCTTCCGTGAGGCCGCCTTGTAGGATCTTGCCAACGGGGAGAAGTGTTCGAAAACTTCGATGAATTTTGCTGTTGCTTGTGCACCTTTGAACGGTGGCAGCTTGAGCACTTGCTTGCAGAAGTCTAAAGCGTCAGCCACTGATGTACTCAGTGCTTGAACGGCATACCGCGCTCCTTCATTTCTTGTTTTTCCCATTCAATCTGGACCTTGGTAAGATTGTTTCCAAGCCTCAGATCCTTTTCCCGTTCCAAGGCCTCTAAGACCCCTATATGGGCCCGCTTCACATGTCTTCCTTCAATGTGAACAAGGTGAATGACGGATGCTAAAGAGTTACGGGTTAGCTTTATAATGTCGCAAGCATCCAAAATAATGTGAACGTTCTTGGAGCAGTCAGCCGGGTTCACAAAGCTTGAAGCAAACTGCTCAGAGTTAGGGCAAAGGTCAGTATCCACACATCTTGCCATCGTGAAATTGGACGAGGCCCGTCAGATGTAACAGAGACAACCTCAACCCCTAAAGCAAATTTTTTAATGCACTGTTTGGTCAGCTCAGCTTTCTTCACGCCCGTGAGTGCATCAATTAAGAAGTACCCCCATTGGCATCGCGTTTATACCAACAATCATGTAGACAGACATTTCTGGCTTCAGGTAGACTTTCATCTTCGAATCCAGTTCCACATACCCAACTACCTTGTCACCAAAAATTTCCACGTGTTTTTTTAGACGTAGAAGGTTGACTCAAGTTGGCGAAAGCAGAGGGCGATGGGGAATGCCTTTTTAGCTTGTCCTGCGCAGCGCCTTGGAAACAGCCCATAGACGCTGCTTCCCTTCCCCCCCCCCCCCCCCCCCCCCCCCCCCCCCCCCCCCCCCCCCCCCCCCCGGCTCGCCTCCCGTCGTCCGACGCGCCATCGTTTTGAGGGAAAAACGGCTGCTATTGTGACTGCAGTGTATTCTGTGAAATACATACGTTTCGAAGCACAGCGTCTAGTTGGCGTTTCACCGTACTCTATACGAAGTATCCACTGGCGGCCATAGTTGTGTGCGCGGCTGCTGAGCGCGTGCTGATGGCGAGCTTCCACGGTTCTTTTGCAACGTGCATTCCACACCATCAGTATTGCCGGTCTAGTAGCCTATTAATATGGGCTCGTTCTGAGCGTGCGCTCTAGACAGCACCCACAAATATGGCGCCCAGTGAATACTCCTTATAGAACACACAGTTTTGAAACAAAAATCTAGATTGCGCGGGAGGCGGACTGAAGGGAGTGAACAAGGGTACCCCGCTCAGCGGAAGTTCTACAACCTGCGTAATCTTAGAACCTTGGCCATGTGTAAGTGTGAGCCCGTTCAGAGCATGCGCTGTGAACAGCGCACTGAAATAAGCCCACCCCTACAATTCCCTTCCTCTACAATTAGGGCTGGGTTCTCAGAAAAAAGAAACTAGGCTATTTACGTTTGAAATAGTGTATCCGGCGTGCAAGTTCGTCCGCTCCTTGCGCACCTCATGCGCTTGTTTACACCCCAAACCCGTCCACGTGCGTTTTGTTTACCCCCGACCTCAGCCAATTGCGGCGCGAGCTTTTCTGCTTCGTCATCGCGCGTTCTACGCGTTCTTTCCTTTTGATTGGCGTGCCCATCTTTGCGTTTTGACGCGCCAAATACGCATTTGAGGACACTGCTCACCGTATACGTTCTGATAAAATAGCAAATGACTAAGAGATACTACTTTGAATCGAATAGCGCACAGTCATTCCTATGCGGAGCGGAAGTTTGTCTGCTTCTTGTGCAGGGTATGTGGTGACGTCAGAACGCCGAGCTTTGATTGGCTCGATTGGAAAGATTGTGGGTAGACCTGAAGGCAGAGAACATTGAGGTCTACCCACAATCTTTCCAATCAGAGCCAACCAGAGCTCGGTGTTTTTACGTCACCGCAACCCCTGCGCAAGACGGAGACGAACTTGCGCTCCGTACAGCCTCAGCGCTGCAAAGGGGCGGTATTTGGAGTGTTGATTTCGTGTTAGGGCCATGAATGACGCGACGCTATTTGATTCCAGCCAGGGTTGAGAATAAAACTTGAGACGATTTAAATCGTGATGTAGATCGTACTGCGGTGTGATGATGCATGAATAAGCATTTATTTCAGGAGGGCGGGCTTTCAGACCTAATTGGGGAAAGGGAGACGAGGGAGCGGGAAGGTGCTCAAACTCGGGTCGTCTTCAGGCTGTAGGCTTCAGACGCGATGAATGATGCCGGTCTGTCTGGCGGAGTCTAGAAGACCAAGCAAAGTTGGCCTCGCCTGGTTCGTGTGCGTTGGGGTAACACAGCTCGCGACGGAATCGCTGTCGGTGCGGCTCGTGTGCAACACATTCTTATATCAAGTGCGTAATTTGGGAATGGTGGTTGCGTCATTTTACAATCCGGGCAAGGGATGTGTCTCCCCGGTTCATTCGTTACTGCGTTCATGTGGTTGGGTGTCCGATACTGTGGGGTGACCTCCGTGCGGCCTGTAGTTTCTCTATCGGGATAACACGTTGGGAGTCGGTACAAGTCCGCAATTTATGGATGAGAACTTGGCACGCCAGTGGAAGGTGGTGTTCCAACGATGGTATCTGGGCTCTAGTGAGGGACTTGGATTGGGCTCTACCCACTCCTCGAGTGGGTCGAGTAGCACCCGGGTGCTTCGTGGGGTTGAGTCTGGCATCCCAGGTGCAAGCTCACCCAAGTTTCGCGGAGGCGTGGGCGCGCTCGTTACCCGCGTTGCCATCCATCTGTCCCAAAGTCCATGCAATCGTGGCGTGAACGTCATTTTCGGTCAGGAGCCGTTGGCGCGTGTGCTTGATGGCCGACGACAAGGAGGGAGCCGTTGAGGGTGTCTATGACTTCTTGGCTGTCTGTGTAAAGCCGCACCTTTTTGCTGCGCCCATTAACTAGCTATTGAACCGCTGGACGCATGACTTCGAGTTCCAGCGCGTGTGTATCCCACATCGTTGCATCTATACTTTCCACAAAGGTGGTTCCCGTGTCCGTACGATGGAACGCAACGGCGGCGAGAGCAATCATACCTGTGGGTGCTGTTTGTCTCGTTGCGTTGGTGTATTTCGTTACCGCGACTGCGACCTCACAATGTTAGGATCGTACCAGGTGTCGTCTTCTGTGTCGGCGTCTTCGTTTGCGCGAATTGGGGGCGGTTTCAGTTCCGTGACGATGAATTCGTGCTATGGTGCGTTTAGTGGAATCAAAACGCCCTGGTAATCGATATTAATTTCCGCGTACTGGATTAGTTTGCGTCCGGTTTGTGTGTATTGGCGGCGAAGACGGTGGCTTTTCTCTTGTTGAGCTATGGTTTGCTCGTGGTAGGCAGGCAGGCCTGCGGAGTTCTTCTATTTTGGTGTGTGTCGGGAGTCCAGTAATGACTCAAAGGGTTTCATTATAAAGTATCCAATAGTTTATTCTAACGCTCTCTGAGATGGTGATTAATGGGGCTGATATGTTATCCGGGAGACGAGAACTGTTTGCACGATTCGCCCGGCGAGAAGGTGCCCGCGTCTCCCATACGGTGGCTGATGCGGGGATCTTCCGCCAAGGGTTTGAGAGCTGACCACCAGCTCTCTGCATTCCGTTTACCCCTGATAGGGATGCCCAGGGTGCGAAGTTACTTAGTCTCCTGTCGATGCAGTGGTTGGCCGGCAAACGTTAGGCTGACGTGCTCCTCCGTCTCCGCACTACCGTGCAAAATAAGGAATTGAGTTTTCTTCGGTGAGGCTTGCATGCTCGTGCTGGGAGGAAGTCCGCTATGGCGTCAAATGTGGCTTGGGGGATGCTATACGCTGGGGGTAGACGTCGTGGGTATAGTGTGTGGTCCACAGCGTGATGTCAACCGCGTAGAGCACCACAGGCCCTCGATCGTGTCCAGCTGTCTGGCCAACCGGGACACAAATATGTATGTTGAAAAGTAGCGGGGACAGCGTCGCTATCCCTGTAAAACGTGCCAAGCGTGTTGTTGAAGATTTTGTCTTCGCGGTTTGTCCTGGACCACGGAGCATGTTCCAGCAGGGACCATGGTCCAGCAGGGACCATGGTCCGTACGAAACAGCACCTTTGAATTTCGAAGGTGCGGTTCTCGAGAAAACCCTTTACGAAGTTAACGGCCCGCGTCCCAACTTCGCTCTCCTCTTTCCTCAGGTCGACTCACTGCCAACAGAAAGTCCGGGTTTGTACGCCTCCCTCCTCCGTTGCCGGTTGAGATGTTCTCTTCATGGAGGGAGAGACTATCGTGGGTCCCGATTTGTGATCGAAAACCCGTTTGGGACGGGTGAAAGTAGTCGTCATTCTCTAGATCGTAGCAATGCGCGTGGTGGCCATACGCTCCTCCAGTTTGCACACAGTCGACGTGAGGGAGACCGGACGACGGTGAGAGAGGCGATCTGCTTTCTTGCCAGGTTTGGGATAGGAATATCCACCGAGCCGAAATAAAAAAATTAAAAAAATACCGAAATAATAATATATTTTGGGATAAAAATGAAAGACGTTTACAATCCCCGGTAACGCCGAATTAGAGCGCAGCTCTTGAGGAGGAGGAGGGGTAGGTACGGAGAGGAGGCTATGCCCCTCCTTCTCTCCTGCTCGCCTCCCATTTAGGGGAAAATTTTCCGCTAAATTTAACGGGGAATTTTTTCCGCTAATTTTAGAGGGGAAAATTTTCCGCTAAGTTTAACGGGGAAATTTTTGCCGCTAAATTTAGCGGGGAAATTTTTCCGCTAAATTTAGCGGGGAATATTTTCCGCAAAATTTAGCGGGAAAATATTTCCGCTAAAATTAGTGGGGAAAGATTTCCGCTAAATTTAGCGGGGAATATTTTCCGCTAAATTTAGTGGGGAAATTTTCCCATAATGCACCGCGCGGTTACGCCGACGGCGATGCCGCTCAAGCCGGAAAAGGGCGCCTAAGAGCTGCGCTCTAAAATACTTACCCCATGATTAATACCTTTACGATTTCTATCCAACAGCTGGCATATCGGTTCTTCGCCCACTAGTCATGCTAGTGTAATCGGCCATATCGAGGTCATAATGCTGGCCAGTAGTGCACTTACGTTCCGATGCTCGGACGAACGGGAACTGAGAAGATTCCAGTGATTTATCAGGAGATATTATTTTACATTTTTGCCTATTGAAGTTTGAATTTCCTCAGTTGTACGTTCGTGTTTGCATCCTAGCGCAAGCACACTACTGGTCGGTATTATGGCTTCGACATGGTTAATTACGCCGATACGAACTGACATGCCGGCTAGTGAATAAGAAAAAGAAAAGCTATAGGTTATCATTCTTAGCAGGGTGACGTTTTACAAGAGACCTATAATACCGACACGAGCATAAAAAATTATTTTCTAGTAGTGGCGATGCATAAAAAATTTTAAACTATCTGGAAGTGGTTTGTGATAAGCCACTGCAACACCTTGCAGAATCTAAAAATGAGCCAAATAAAACTGTGCTGTTTGAAACAATCGATCCCGAATTCGCTAGATTTGTTTTAAACAGTTGTTTATTCAAGTGTTTGCAAAGGCCCGTTCACACTTTCGCAACCGAGTACGACCGACAGAGACGAAACCTGTTGAAACCTTTTAAATTTTCTTAGGACGAGGGAACACACTGGCATTCTGACCCAGGAACTCCATTTCACAAGAGCGAAGGTTTAGCGGGATTTCCGAAATCAAATGTGCGTTATACCTATAAGGAAGGCTCGTTTATAACGTTGAGAAAAGTTTTTCGAGCCAAGAAAGAAAGGATAACGCGCGAGAGAAATAGAAAATGTGCCGGACCCCAAGTTTACACTGCTACCCAATAGATGGCGCCAGTATGTCCTCTCGTTGTAAGAGGTTTCAAGGCATCCATTTCTAAGAGGTCGCAAGACAGTGAACGGGCCTTAGTGCTCTCTGTCTCTTATACATATAATATTAAATTTAGACTCAGCAAAAACATAAAATTCTTAGCTTGTTGGAGATGATATCGGGAATAAAAATAATGGAAATTTTTTATTTTTTTCCTTGATAGTGCCTTTCAAAATATCCTACAATTGCGTGGTTGTTACGTAATTTGAGTGTGTCCATTGTTGCTTCTCTTTATTCTGTTTATCTTGCTTTTTCTGTTAATGCTGTAATCTGTATGGTATGTTGATAATTTTCTTTTTATAATGCTGCAAATGCCAATGTGGGGGCCTGTGGCTTTGTCAAGCTGGTCTTGTGACCGCTTTTTCCGCAAGCCTCCAGTATCATGTACTCTGTATTTGATGCAAATAAAATATCAACAACAACAACAACAACAACAATAGGTGCGTACGTAAGAGCTCAAACTTTGATCGAAATAGTAAAAAACGTATTAATATATAACAAATATTTAAACTAATTGACGTTAAAAATATCCACCTTAATAATTTTACAACACACAAAATCAGTGAAGAAATGGCGAGCAATGAAATACATGCGACCACCGGCAAGCGAGAGAAATTCTTGAAAACATAAAATTCTCCAAAGTTGCCCTGCTCATAGGCGTACACGAGCTGAGATAAAAACATTCAGCTGTTTCCTCTACGATTTTGTTTTCGATCACGAACAATCCCATCTCTAACGCCTGAAAAAATAAGTGCTCCTAATAAAATTATGCCCGGCAAACTATGGTCGCGAGACCGAATTACTCGAACTGCGAAAAAACAACCGTTGCACCTCTCGTAAGTGCGACGGTTTTTGTGTGATGTACACATACGTCGGCTTTATTGCCGAAGCCACAGTTGGCGCCCAGCACGCGAGCTAGATTCTATGAAAAGCGTGCTGAATAAAGCTTCGGATGCGTTGGCGTCTGGCCTATTCGTTCTTTTTTTTTAATTTTTTTAGTGGCAAACACGCATCAGATAGAAGGGCGGGTTTACTGCACGCTCGTGTTCTCCTACAGCGGGAACACGTCAGAAAGGTAGGAGCTCATCCGTGTGAAGCCTAGCCTCCACCTCAGCTGGAGAGAGGGATGAATCGGACAAGGTTACAAGAAAGGAATACCGTGGTCTTCTACACATGTGTGCCAAGTCGAAAAGACTCACTGGCTCTGTACGAAGAGTCTGAGTGACAGCTACTGCTGGAGGAAGTCCACAACGCGGAAGTCATCGTGGGTAACGTGCCGGTGATCTCCGCAGCTTCTGATGCACCCGACGCTGGTGGGGATCCTGCTGGTGCTCGGGTACTACTGCCTCCAGGAGTACGTTGCCAGCGATGCCTCGGAAGAGTTTAAGCATGGGCGGCTGTCTTCGGGAGAACTCAAGATGGCCGGTGACATCCGGTCCAGGCTGGGCAACGGGTCTGCCTGGAAGAGGACCCACCAGGACCTGTACGTGTGCACGGCATACCTGGACGACAGGACCAGGCCGGCGCTGGTTCGCTTTGTGGGCGTCGCCAACGCATCGGGTCACGGCTACAGTGCCCGGCGGAGGTTCTTCCCGTCTTTCGAGTGCGTTTTCGCTTACAGGTGAGGCTCCGCGTACCACGTGCAGGTCAACGTTGAGAATAGGAGGTGATGGCACTTTTCTGACGTCGCGTCCCATGTGGTGCCGCTGACTGCGACGCATGGTACCGCCTCAGAGATAGCGCTGGCGGCTGATGAGCGTCTGCTACACATTCCGAAACTGGAGATACCGCCCGCGGCGTTGCGCCGCATTTCGCCGTGTGAGCGCACCTTGCTTTATAACCAGTTCAGCTTATCGCTCAGTTGAGCTGCCGTGACTTCTTGCTTTATAGGTGCCATGTCAGTAAGCGCTATCTCCGAGGCGGTACCACGTGCCCGATTCCGAGTTAGGCGCTGCGCCACCGAAGAGCGTGAAAGCGCACACGTTGGCAGGCACAGAAGGATGCGCATGCGCTTTTCTGTTATCTCGAAACCAGGCGACCCGCTGGCAGATGGCAGAGCAATGTGTTTCAGTCGCAGCTCGCACGTCCTGGGGACTTTTGTCCCCGACTGTACAGGGTGTCACGAAAGAAAATTTACACAGTCTTTTTTACCGCAAAAATAAACTAGGCATCGTCGAACGCTCATACTCCGCCCAAAGGTAGCTCTAGAGGTCACAACCAGATGCCAAAGTTTCAACCCGATCCGATAGCTTAATCAAAAGTTATAAGTGATTATCTGAAAATTTCAATGGGAAAATGGCGGCCGACGGAGTTTTCGAACACATGGGGCTCTATGGCACCAGAAACCGAAAACAGGCAAAAATGGGCTCCATTTTCCCATTGAACTTTTCAGAAAATCACTTATAACTTTTGATTAAGTTATCGGATCGGGCTGAAACTTTGGCACCTGGTTGTGACCTCTAGCTCTACCTTTGGGCGGAGAATGAGCGTTCGGCGATGCCTAGTTTCTTTTTGCCGTAAAAAAGACCGTGTAAATTTTCTTTTGTGACACCCTGTACATGCACCTCGTGTCGGTATATTCCGATACAAGAAGGACAACGGGCGAAAAGGCGATGCGGACAGAGACTCGAAGGCGGTCGACGCTTTCGTTTTGACCTTTGCATCGCTTATCATCCCGGGTGAAAAATGCTGAGTCACTGAGCTGTGGACGCATGCGTAGCGTCTCACATACCGCACAGCGGAGCAACAGGACAGGCTCAGAAGGTGTTTCACAGCCCAGCAGACAAAGATGATAGCGCGCAGAAGGCGATTTTTTTTTTTTTTTAAAGGCCCGATGGAGCCGACCAGGCAGCGTCAAAAAGGACATCGTCACCGAGCCCGTTGTTTTGCAAAGGTCGCTATCACCGACTTAAACCAGTCACCCACAGTGAATGCAACGCAATCCTGCTCATATCTTTTTTTTGCGGGATTGGTTTATTATGGTGTTTGCTAAACGCACAAAGGCCACGAGTGGTCGTGGCGATGCGTTTTTTGCGCTGCTTGGTTTAGACCAACGTTACTAAAACACTCAGTTGGGAAACTGTCATAGAGACTGCTCTGATAAAGTGGCCCCGATCTGTCCTCAACAACCGAGCTAATGGCGAACACAACGCCGCCATTTCTCCCGCAGCGGCCACTCGAGGAACTGCACATGACTCATATTATGGCTTTAATCGGCCATTGTGGCGCCGAAACAGATACAACGGAAGAGGTTACAGGGGTGCCACCCCCGTCTCCCGAGCAAACGCGCCGCGATTACTACCGAAGTTAAAATGCACCTAGGTCGGGACGCGCTACCTGAAAGCACCGCTGAGGCGTGGTTGTATAAAAACAATATTAATTGTGCCGCAGAACCCTGGAAACTAAAGATTTTAAAAACATCACGTGCCCATCATTTTGTACTAAACTCCAGTAAATTCCATACAAAAAGAGTCTTTTCCGTTTGTTTTTACGCAAAAACATGCTTTCTAAAATCGCAAGGTGACCTGCAGAGTACAGACAGATGATAAAGAGTGGCGCTGTTGTCGTATTTAGCTCGGTTTTGGTGGACGCCAGCGGCCCAGGTTTCGACGGCGAGTTTCCCAACTGAGCGTTTTAGTAACGTTGTTTTAGACCATTCCATTTAGTGCTCTAAGGGCGGGGCCATTTTGTGCCACCGCAGCGTCCTCTCCACACAATCGGGAAGTTCAGCAGGTTTGGCTGGGTAAAACGAGAGACAGGGCACCCGCCCGACTTCGCTAGCTGCATACGACAAACCGGGAGGTATCCGTTCTTTATCTTTGGGCTATACCCGAACATCGAAGGCTCGCTCGTAGCTGCCGCTGTGAAGTGGTTCGCGTATTTAGAGCTCTGTTGCTTTATTTCAGTAAATGGACAACTAGCGAATCTTTGTTCCGTTACTTTAATGACAGTGGAGTCAGCCGGCAGTACTACCCCCAGCCACTGCGCCTATTGCGTCAGGAGAGCACGTTTTTATTTATTATTCCAGGCTTCCACTCACTGTCGCTAGAGCCACTCTATATGGCAGCGTAGCTGCCAGAGTAGCCACACGACGCAAAATTATCTAGATACACGACGTCAGAAGCGCCTATAGTGATCTCCATTTTGGGCCTGGGAGGTTTCTATGGTAACCACTGATCTCAATGACAATTGCTGGATCGCGCTTGCCGCTCCCGCAAGTGAAGCCCGGTGGCTTCAGTTGCGCTGCAGCGAACAAGCGGGGAAGCGCGATCCAGCAATTGTCATAGAGATCAGTGATGGTAACCGTACTGCTAGCGACGCCCAACGGCAACCTTTATCTAGTTGATATCTCCATTCGTTAATTGAAAAGTGGTAAAAGACCTAAAATAGGCTTTGCATGGCGGTACGGCACGGGTCTCTGGAGGAGCGCTGTCTGTTTCTTTTGTGAAATGAGACGATTTGCAGCGTTCACGGACAAGGCAAGTGGTTTTCCGCGCCGCCGGGATGGCGGCGGCTTCGTGGGGCGAACGTACCGTCCTTGCACTTTCGGACTTCGCTCCTATGGAACAAAATCCGATTACGCCGCTCACGACAGGACGATTCCCTTGGGACATGACTGCTGCTCGACTGCCCCACAGTAAGAGAATGTATGCTTAGCACCATAGCTCTTCAAGACCCAATCATTCATTCAAGATGAGATTATCTCACCGACTGGCGGAAGCGACGTCGACGACGGTATCACCCTCGTTTTGGGCGATGAACAGTCGACGGGGTTAAACCAAGAAGGACAGCACGGTGGTCTACAGAGGATTGATTGTTAACGCCATCAAAAGAGACCGACGCCGGATATGAGGTGTTCTTGCCGACAGGCCAAGTGGTCGTCCGGAAGTTTACCGGCATGCAAAATGTCAATATTTTTATCTGGTGTAGCACGTATACCAGTGTTAAAGGGGCCATGAAATGATTCTTTAACTTTTTCTTCCTTAGCTTTAATCCTCAACTCAAAAGACAACACTGGAATCACGCGGTCGTGACATGCTAGGGCACCGGTGGGATGACCCCAAGCTTCCACTGTGCTTTTTAAGCACACCATAAAACTTGTCATTCGCAAGTGCACTCATGTGCACTCATTGGCCACGAAAGCGAATTCAAATATTCATCGACGAATTGATTGCTGGCGAGCGCATACGGCCGAGTGACGCAGTTTTCGTGTCAAATGCGTGAGCTGGGGTTGACTGACGTCATTTTGGCTTTTGTAGGCATTGCAAAGAGGATATTTAGAACCATACACACATGATGATAGCATCATGGCACACGGACATTAATGAGTACAAAACGGGCCCAGCTACAGAAAATAAATAAAACACTCGTGAAAAATAATTGTCTCTAACTTGTTAATTACAAAGACGAACACACCTCTGAGCATATAAATTTAATAGTGTGTGTTGATGCATTCTTATAGAGCAGGTCATTTCATATACGTCATTTGAGCAAACGCCTGCTTGCCACTTGAAAAAAAAAAAAAAAAAAAAAAACCACTGCGACCAAATGCAAGCTATTGCAACAAAAGGACGTTTATCAAAGTCTTCAGAACTGTCAATTCGTGAAATCATCGATTAGTACAAAAGGTTAAAGGTCGCAGGCGCTTCCTCGCTTAAAGTTGCTGCGATTATTCGGTGATTCAGGGCTGAAACAACTTCCCCTAGGCCCTACACACGACGTATACCTTTCGTTTCGATTCTCAGAAATTCCAACATTCAAAGGAAGCTAGAAAATGCAAAAATGTTATCCTAAAAGTTATATCGTAAGATCGTTGATTAGTACAAGACGTAAAGATCGCAGGAGCTTCCTCGCTAAAAGTTTGTGATTACGCGGTTACCCGGGGCTGAAACAACTTTCCCAAGGCCCGACATGTGACGCATACAATTCGCATTGATTCTCAGACATTCCAACGTTCAAACAAGGCTAGGAGTATGCGAAAATTGCATGCAAAATGTCTTATCGATCCTCGAATACATCCAGGAATACGAGCACCGCTACGGCGATATGACAGATGCTGTTGCACAGGTGCTAATATCCAGGGCGATCTTGCACAGAAAAGGTATAAAGTCACATTCTTTCAGATCTTCACGTTATACCTGCGTCCGAGAGCACGAAGAAGTCCGAAATCGTCGGCATGCAGCGGCACATTACGAGTACCGCGCACCGAACAAACTCGTATCCACCAGCTCTGGGCGCTGCCATCTTACCGGTGACATCACGGCTCTTGCGAGGTCACGTGACGAGTAGTCACTCGGTTGCTAAGGAAACCGAGCCAGCTCAGCTCGTTGCTATGGTACCGCGTGTGACCAATCACGGTGAGAGGCGGCACAGGGAAAAGCGGGGCGCTACTCTGGCAGCTACGCTGCCATATCGAGTGGCTCTAACTGTCGCTAAAGGGCTACACTAGTGCGAACTTTGTATAGGAAAAAAAGAACTACAGCAACCGGATTTACTTTTCGCCGGAAAAACCGGCCACTCTAACTTTTTCTTTTTTTTTTTTTTTTGCACGCAGGTAACAGCGCAATTTGACCCGGTTAGTCTTTTTATCGTGGATAGAATTACACGATAACGTGCATATCG